TAATTGGAACATTTTGGACAAGATTTAAAAACATGCTTTTTGAGTCACATGATGGCTGAAGTAACCGGGGGTAGAAAGTTGAAATTTGGCATGGAAATAGACCTCAGCCAGGCGCAAAGCCTTTACTTTTTCAAGAGAACATTTTCTTTTGTCAGGGTTATGCCTCTGTGAAAATCACCTACTGAGCATGCACAGATCTTGTCACTAAGTACATGTAAAGAGTAACAGAGATGTAGCCGTGTTAGTCTGGTCTTGCTGAAACAAAAGACAGGACTATGCAGCACTTTAAGGCTACATCTAGACTACATCCCTTTTTCGAAAAAGGGATGTAGTCTAGATGTAGCCTTAAAGTGCTGCATAGTCCTGTCTTTTGTTTCAGCAAGACCAGACTAACACGGCTACATCTCTGTTACTCTTTACATGTACTTAGTGACAAGATCTGTGCATGCTCAGTAGGTGATTTTCACAGAGGCATAACCCTGACAAAAGAAAATGTTCTCTTGAAAAAGTAAAGGCTTTGCGCCTGGCTGAGGTCTATTTCCATGCCAAATTTCAACTTTCTACCCCCGGTTACTTCAGCCATCATGTGACTCAAAAAGCATGTTTTTAAATCTTGTCCAAAATGTTCCAATTAAACATCTGTCTGATGGGAGAATGTTGTCCCCCTGAAATCATGTTTTCATGGAAATCAATCCATTTTGACTTAATTTTTTAAAAAAGGGAACTGTGTGCTCTGATTGGAAAAGGGTCCCTTTTGACCTTTTTAGAATGAAACATTCAGACTTGGGTTTCAAAACATTTCATTCCAATGTTTTGCTTAAATGTATGTATAAATAAAATTAAGTCAAAGTTGGAGTGAACTATTTTATCCCAGCAAAATGTTTTGATCATTTGGACACTTTGGTTTTGTTTCAGATTCTTGTTTCACAGAAAGTTTAACTTTTTTATTTTTATTTTCTTCCATTTCAGAATGGAAAAGTTTTGACATTTAATGAATACAGGGAAAATCCAATTTCCACACAGTTCTAGATGGCAGTATCTTTTTATGAAGTTATCTTGTACTCAAAATGGAGTATTGCCAACTCCTATGATTTTAACCTTGTAGTAAGTGGCGTCTTGTTTAAAGCTCCAGATCCTGGAATCATGTCAACACCTTTGATTTTTAAAAAGAAGTTTCTAGCCCAGAGGGTTTCAGAGAGAGCTGAAAAACATTATTCAAGTGCATTTGAAAGCTTCAGAAGCCCAATAAATTGCACCCTCATTTTTATGTTCATTTTTTTAATTTTGAGATTTGTAAGCTATTAGTTTTTGTGGGGAGGGAACAATTTCGGGTTTGTGTTTTGTTCCTTTGACTGCTTGAGGATGGCAAAATTGGGAGGGATTGTTTAAACTTTTATAAAAGCATCTCAGGGTATAAACCAAAAATGGGAAACTTCAGCCCAAAACTGTGGGCCATGATGAAAATGTCTGTGTTACTGTGGAACCTAGAAGCTGCAGTTCGTGACCAGTCTTAAGACGGTCAGTGTAAATATACAGAATGAGAGGATGGCTCCTGTCCCAAAGACCAATACTGACCAATAATGAAGCAATGGCTGAAAACTTGGAGACTGCAGGGCTGTGTCTAGACTGCACCCCTTTTCCGTAAAAGGGATGCCAATTAGACACAGCGCAATTGAAAATGAAGCAGGGATTTAAATCTTCCCCACTTCATTTGCATAAATATGGCTGCCGCTTTTTTCCGGCTCGGGGCTTTGCTGGCAAAAAGCGCCAGTCTAGACGGGGATCTTTCGGAAAATAAAGCCTTTTCCGAAAGATCCCTTATTCCTGATCCCGAGCAAAGCCCCGAGCCAGAAAAAAGCGGCAGCCATGTTTATGCAAATGAAGCGGGGAAGATTTAAATCCCCACTTCACTTGCAATTGCGCTGTATCTAATTTGCATCCCTTTTACGGAAAAGGGGTGCAATCTAGACACAGCCCCAGGTGTATGCTTAGGTAATGATGGAAACAAAATGAGAGATCAGAATGCTATGAATGGAAGAGCAGCGTGATAAGACTTCAAAAAAGGACGTGAAAAATGACCGAGTAAGAGGGCAGCAGCAGCCGAGAGAGACGGAAGGGCACATGATTTCTAAAAAGACCAACTAATTGGACAGCTCGAAAGAGAGAGAACACAACCAATGAAAGGTTTGGAAGACCTATGAGGAAAGGTTAAAAGAGCTAGGACTGTTGTATCTGGGGAAGATAAGCTTAAGGGGGACAATTGTCTGCAAATACGTAAAGGGAAAGCATAAAGAAAACAAGGATCAGTTTCATTCGTGTGCTCTTTAAGGAGGACCTGGAGACAAACATCCAAGCAGGAGAACCATTGCTTCTTTCTCCTGCCCCTCCCCTCTTGCAGCCCCCACAGCCCAGAGCTACACTAGCTTCTCATGAGCCAAATGTCTCCTGACCTCCACCAGTCTTCAGCACTGCTGGCCCCACGTCCCCGTTAGCTCGAACTGCTGCCATTGGGCTTGCTCCGAATGCTTCACGTCTTGCTGATTCCCAGTCCAGCAGAGACCACAGACTGGGGTGGAGGGGAGAGAGTTTTTCCAACATGAGCCCGTAGGAATGGTTCCCTTTCAGAAACAAGAATCCTAAGCAATTCTGCTCCCTGGTTGCTGGGACCCTCTCCTTTTCCCTGGTGTAGTGCCCCCATGGCACTCTGGCTAATGGCCTACAAAAATGGCCTTTCTCCAGGGGCATGGAATGTGCTTAGGCAACAATGAGCCATTAGATTCTACACAGTGTTGGTGTGGAACTGCCCAGTCCTGACAGATGCCTAACGTAAGAACAGCCCTACTGTGCCAGACCAAAGGTCTGTCTAGCCCAGTGTCCTGTCCTCCTACAGTGGCCAAGGACAGGTGCCCCAGAGGGAATGAACAGAGCAGGTAATTATCACATGATCCCTCTCCTGTCATCTGTTTCCAAACAGAGGCTAGGGACACCATTCTTACCCATCCCAGCTAATAGTCATTGATGGACCTATCTTCCATGAATGTATCTAGGTGGGGTGTTTTTTTTAACCCTGTTAAAGTCCTGATCTTCACAACATCCTCTGGCAAGGAGTTCCATAGGTTGACTGTGTGTGTGTTGTGTGATGATTCCTTTTTTTTTTTGTTTGTTTCAAACCTGTTGCCTATTAAGGCCTAGGTGGGAATTGTGATTTGGAGAGTGTGCTATTCAACCTCTGCACCTCCTTTGCTTTGTGGTCTGGAGTAAATTACTTCAGCCCTCTACCGGGTACAGTTTATCCATTTTCCCCCTGTGTATCTGGCCTTCTGCTCTTCAACCTTTTCTGGCACCCCCTCTGTTCACCTGCAATCCTTGCTCACTGTGGCCCAAGTCACAAAGGGCTGAGGTAATCTGTCCTCTGGGAATGATTAGTCAAGTCTCTTGAGGATTAATTGAATCATAACAGCAGAAAAATTAAATATCCCAAAAGGCATTTTCAGAACAAACCATGGAAATATGGAAGGCCCAGTTAAACCCCTGTCAAGGGTATTGGGGGTTGGCAGTGCTAGCCCTGTCACTCTGCAGTGAGTGGGCAAGATGACCTAATGAAGTGTTCTTCAAAGCAAATGCTCCAATGATCACCAAAACAGCCAACTTCCCCATGCTGCTGGATCTCTATGGGAATGCTTTACACCTCTCTGGCTGGTCACGTGGGGCCAGATTCAACAAAGGGGTCTTCCATTGCATGACTTATGTAAGGCCCAGGTAGAAATTCATTTCTTGTGCTTTGTGGAGCATGGAAACCAGCCCCCCTTTCTCCTCTGGGAGTGCATGGCAGCCCCAATGGGGCAGGGAGGAGACAGAGCTATTGCTCTGAATCTTCCCTTTTGCTAGCTGCTCCTGCAAAGGGATATGTTAGCTGGTTCTCGGCCTCAGTGAGCCTAATGCTTCCTGGGGTCCCCCAGAGTTGTGCAGGTCCACTCTACACTTTGCACTGGGCTTTGGCTAACTGGAACAGTCAAGCCCTTGATTGCAGGTGCTTGGTCCTACTGTGAGGGCAGAGGACTGGACATGATGACTTCTCAAGGTCCCTTCCAGGTCTAGTATTCTGTGAGTCTCTTCTCACAGAAAATAATCTCTCTCCAAAAGGCAAGTTACGCTGCACAAATGGCAATTTTGCTAGCATGGGTGAAGGTGTTGGAATTAGAAGCCGACTCTCTGCTTGTCTTCCTTTACCGAAATGGTGGGCAAGCAGAACGTGCATGTTCCAGGTCCTATCTTCAGCAGAATGTAATCTAAGAATATGTCTCCACCGCAGGGCTAAAGACGAATTAAGCTACCCAACTTCAGCTACGTCAGTTGTGTAGCTGAAGCTGAAATAGCTTAACTCAGCTTTTGACGCGGTCTACCCAGCAGGATGTCGAAGGAAGAGCACTCTTCCTTCGACTTCCCTTTCTCCTCATGAAATGAAGGTTACCATGAGTCAGAAGTCCCCCGGCTCGACGTTATTTTGAAATAAAGGTTTGTAGTGTAGACACGCACTATGTTACTTCAGAATAACATCAGTTATTCCAAAATAACATCGCTGTGTGCATGTACCCTAAGTGAGAACGTATTAGGGCCAGATGCTGGAATATGCAAGCCTTCTGAACATCTGGCCTATAATTTTGAGATGTAAGTTTGTCTATTTGCTTCTGTTTCACATTAGGTATAGTCAATTTTGGGACATAGCTAATCACTTTGAGGATAAATACCAAAAAGATTGTGAGGCACTCAGCTAGTACAATAAGAGCAGCCACATCAGACCTCGATAGATCCTGCTTGGATTATGTGCCATGTAAAGTATTACTCAATGGGAGTAAGTGAGGCAGACTGGAAGCTTGAAATCAGTAAAAAATATCAGTTTTATATGCTGCCGTTTAAATGATGCGAGATGAAAAAGGTGAGACAATGTTGAGATAAACTTTTTCTGGTTTCTGTTCTCTCACACCTCCTCTACCCCTCAGGTTTTTCCACCATGTTTGGGAAAAAAAAGAAAAGGCTTGAAATTTCTGGACCATCAAATTTTGAGCACCGGGTTCACACTGGATTTGATCACAGAGAACAAAAATTTACAGGACTACCTCAACAGTGGCACAGCTTGCTAGCAGACACGGCAAACAGGCCGAAGCCTATGGTGGACCCTTCATGTATCACGCCCATCCAGCTTGCTCCCATGAAGGTAGTGTACCGGGTCTGGGTTTCCTATTGTCTTTCAGTTTCTTATTCATGTCCCACTGTTTATGGGACTAATGTTGGAGCATGTTCTCCAGAAAGAGTGAGGGTTGTACTTCTTCGTGCACCAGGGGCATATTTGTTGACCCAGGACCTGCTGTTGATAAGATACTGATGGATTGCTGTATCTACCTGGAGTCCCACAGATTTTGCTGTGGATCGGTGCAGTTGCAGCTGTCCACTCGATTCAGATTCTGAATCAACATTTGTTCCACTATAAGTCAGCCAGTTTCCTTTCATTTTATCCCCACTATACCGATGAGACTAAGTTCTGGATGTTTTAAGCCAACAGAAGCTCTCCCATTGATTCCAGTGTAACCAGGAATGATATGTATACTGTATTTGTATGATCATTATTACACGTACTTGTAGCATGAGGTAGAGTGCAATCAGGATGCATGTCTAACCAAAAGAAAGATATTGTTCACGTACCAAAAAGCTTAGTCTGAGACCTGCAACCTACAAAGTGTTTGAAGAGGGCTGTAGCCCCGAATCAATTATTCAAGACTTAGATGGAGAAAGAATGCTCTAGCAAATGTATTTTTAAAAATGAATATAAAAATGACCTAAAATAGACTTTCCATAACAACGTCGTCATACTTCCAGTGTTTCATACAGGAATATCCAGGGTTAGGTGCAAGTGTTGCATGTCAGAGGGAACAATTGCAAGTCTCCTTTTTTCCAGTTGTATAGCGTTCCCATTTCTAGCCCTACTGAATGTCAAATCTTAAATCTAGCACCGGAGTGACTGTCCATTTTGGGCCTTAGGCAAGGGGAGTGTGGGGGGATAAGCAGCACACCTGGGAAAGGAAAATAGATTTATTTTTTAAATAATGAGGGCAGCTGTTTGAAACTTCTTTAGAACTTAGACATTCTAAACTCAGGGAAAGTGGGTTAATGGTCAGAGACACTCAAAGGGCCTGACAAATGCCTGGTCAGATGACTCTGAAGCATATTTTACACATAGTGCCTGCCTGTGTGTGTTTTCTCTCTCTCGTATTCCCACATGCTGCTGACTCTGTCTCACTCTTACTCTATTACTATCCTCAAAGAAAAGTTCTTGTGACTTAACATTTTTGTCAGTTTCTTTCCATCAATGGGGGGAAAAAATCAATTACAAGAGCACAAACTCTTCATTTGTATTGGTTAATCCTCCTGGCCAAAATCAGGTTGGCTGCCAACCGCTGTGTAATGCTCTCTACCTTCATGATCAGGATTGTAGCAGAGCAAAGGAGAGTTTCTGGTATCGTGTTGTATAAAGGAAGCCCAGGAGCAGTGGAAAAAGCAGAAAGGCATTTGCCTGCTAGATGCAGATAAGAATAAGGATAATTGCATTCCACGAGCCGCCTCCTTACCACCATATATATGATACAGCAGGGGGTTGGGACACAAATTAACTAAGAGGCTATAAAGAAGAAAAATTGGATGAGTCTTGCTACAATCTCATCCTTTTTATGGATTTTGGGGGGAGATGCCTCTTTAAGCTTATAATGTTTCAAAATGCATTTGATTTGTCAGCTCTGCCATTGGGGTGCTGAAAATCATCTGAATTATTTTAATAAGTCTCTCTTTTTGGTCCTTCCTTATAGTGACTAAGTATTCCAATCTGACAGTGGAACAGAGCATAAACTCCCGTTGAATTCTTTGGGAGTTCTGTGCATAATGGACTTGCTCTGAAGTTACTAGGTCGTTAGCCACATTTACACCCACTCTCCTCCCTCCCCCTGAGATTTTGTAGCTCCACAAAAGTAGCTGTGTCTGCAGAGCACTGCAGCTGAAAAGTCCCTCTGCATTCTACCTACCCAGACACTTAGAGACGGTGGCTAGGCAGATGGAGCTCCTGGCTGGCAGTTTTGAAATGGAACTTCCAGCTGGGAGAGATGCCTGGGTTAAACGTTCCCATCCATGACTCCTAGTGCTGTCTTCCTCCCCACCTGCCGTCCTCCCAAAAGGCCCAGATGCTCCTCTCTCCTTCATGGTCTTTAATCACTTAGTGTAGATCTCCACTGATGAAGGTTAATGCTGATATCCTACATTTCTTGGCTGACTGATCCTTAGATAAGGTATAGGTCACCACCCACACCAGCAAGGCAGGTGTCATCTGTAAGGCTGTGTCTACACTACATGCCTCTGTCGGCAGAGGCATGTAGATTAGGGTTGTAGGCAAAGGTAAATGAAGCCGCGATTTAAATGATCGCGGCTTCATTTACATTTACATGGCTGCCGCGCTGATCCGACAAACAGCTGATCAGCTGTTTGTCGGATCAGCGCGGCAGCCATGTAAATGTAAATGAAGCCGCGATCATTTAAATCGCGGCTTCATTTACCTTTGCCTACAACCCTAATCTACATGCCTCTGCCGACAGAGGCATGTAGTGTAGACACAGCCTCTGTGGGCTACAGCCCCAGGTCTGCAATGTGGGGCCATTATTAGGAAGGGAAAGGAGCAAGACACACACAGGGAGATAGGAATCTCATTTGCATTTTGACCTAGCCCACCTCCCACCCCAAAAAGCATTTTATCTGTCACCAATTCTGTCATGAGCCTGTTCTACTGAGCATCAACCTTCCTGTTACTTATATCTCCAATTAACCATGGTCAGGATCTGTGTCCCCTCTGCAATGTGGGTCCCCTTGTAAATTTGAACTTAGTATAAAATAGAAATGTTTATTGATGCATGGTGTTAGCTTCCATTGCTATAAAGCTTTCACATAGAACCTTCTATTGCAGGGACAATGTTTTACTTATGGAGGCTGGGGAAAGTGGGGAAGAGCAGGCTTGCTTCGCTACAGATTTAAGGCCTGGTATTGCTACTTTCATTCCATCTTCCGCCTCTGCAAAAATAATACAAATCCGCCATCTAGTGTGCACGGCTATGTTTTACATTGGCATTAACTTGACACAAGAGTGAATGGAGCTTATTCTCCAATTTAACAGTCTTACAGGAAACCTGCCGGAGCATGAACAAAACTAATTGAGTGAGAAGTTCACATTTCAAAGACCAGTATATTTTTGCATTATTGGATTGGCTTCTCTTTTTTTTTTTTACATCTACTGTAATCCATATGAGCGCACTTATAAACAAGGGTGTTGATCCAGAAGGTTGGTTTGAATTAGAATGGAATTAGTGTGAATGTAGTGGGGGAAATGTTAATAGGACATTGTCGTTTTTAATTGACTCTTTGGCAAATTCCATTTTAATATTAAGTGCCCTTTAAATCTATATCGGTGCTCTTTAGTTCCTTTTAAATAATTCTGATGTTAGTTTATATACAGCAGGGGGAGAAACTGCCTAAGATACCTGCCCTGCATTATGATCCACTAGGTTTCAGTGGCATATGTGTGGAGATTCCAGCTGAAGTCAGTGGAATAACACACAGAGACCAGAATCGAAATGAGTGGTTCTCTGAGTATTGTTGGGACCAGGAAAACAAGGCCTGGTCAACGTTATGCTAAGGAAAGTTAACAAAGGCTAATTACGTAGGCCTCTGGGTATTCTTGACCAGAACCAGGAATGTGGTTCAATCAGAGGCGCACCCTCCATGCTGGCTTAGGTTATAAAGTAAGATAGTGATAAATTATATATTTGTACCTACTGTAAGTAGAATGGTTTGCTCTGGGAACTGGTCAGTAACTCCCTGTTTTTGTTCCTCTTCGCTAATCTTACCTCCCTATTTTTGCCCTTTGTTTGTACCCGACTCTTTTGTCTCCTTGTTCCTGGTACCTGCCTTTTGTGATTGATAAGAAAGTTACTGATGCATTATGAAGCGCTTTTGGCCACAATGTATATAGTTGGCTAAGATATGCATAGATATTAAAAGTTTCTAGAAAGGGGGGTAAGTGGCTTGGGCGAAGAGCTTATGACGCGACGGAACTGTCTTTATAAGCCTACCTGTTACTAAAATCGGGGCTGGTTCTCTTTGGAGACGGGCCGCTCTCTATTGTTGTGTGCACTCTTCAATAAAGAGCTTGTGATTGGACTTTGCTGGTGTTGCCTGTCTCTTTGCGGTCAGACAACGAACCGAGCCGTCTGGGTTAGAGTCCCTGACAGTATCATCAGGGCTGAATTGACCATACAGAAGAAAGAGTGAAACTCACCCTATTTTAAAAAATGCTCTCAAACGTACCAAGACAATAAATCGATGAGGGCCCTAGGAAAAGAAAAATGCCCCCCTCCCCCTGACCCATCTACTCTGTGGGAGATCAACGTTACCAGGGTCGATCTTCCAGGGTTTGATTTAGTGGGTCTAGTATAGACTCGCTAAACTGAACTCAGAGCGCGCCTCCGTCGGTGCTGGTACTCCTGCTCCTCACAAGGAGTAAGGAAAGTAGACGGGAGCATTTCCCCCCATCGCTCTCCCACTTTGTGGATGACGTAGAAACGCAATTTAAGATACGCAACTTCAGCTGTGTTAATTATGTAGCTGGAGTCGATATATCTTAATTCGACTTTCTGCTGTGGTGTAGACCTGACCACATTGTTTTAGGTGGGGATTGTCACAACTTTGGGTACAAAATGTTGAATCAGAAAAGTGGCTTTTAAGTTCCTCCTGTATTTGTAACTCAAAAAGAACATACCAAAATAGGAAGAGTGGTCCCAGGGCTGTTGAATTCCTAGGAATGTTTCCTTTTCTGGCCCATTCAACCTATGCAGACTGTAGTAAAATTCCATGCAAGGAGTGAACACCTGGCCCTATAGAAGTCTATGATAAAACTCCTGTTGGCTTCAACGGGGCTGGTATTTCATCCAAGACTTATGAGCGTCCCTATTTGGCAGGGGCCCGGTAATAACAGTCAGATCTGTGTTGCTGATGTTGACGAATTATATTAGTTATTAAAGAGTGGAAGACAAATACAGAAGGGTTACAAACCCTAAAGAATAAGGGACCGGATCACAATTCCTTTGCACTTCTCTAATACCATAATTTCTCATACTATGCCTCTAG